CGGGTTCAACTGTCCCCCTCTTACAATGCTGTGATTGCTAGTATCACTCAGCCCTCTGTGAGTAGTAAACAGCCATCAGTGTGCTAATGACCCATTGTTAGGCTGATGGTCCTTCTTGAGCATGTGATCAGCTGGTTTTGGTTGTCAGCAGCAAAACTGGTTGATCCACTCTGAAGAAGGCGCTATTTAAGAGACTGAGCTGAAAACAGCAGCTCAGACTGAAGAAGTCTCTTGGATGAGAGACGAAACGTTTCTACATTTATTATTATTATTATTTTTTTTTTGCTTTGTTTTGTTTTTTTGAAGGTCCAGAGGACCAGATTGAACTTTTTTGGATAACACACACACTATATATATGTATATACAATACTTAATTACACACATTTGAGTAGATGTAATAAATTACTTTAATTCCTGTTTAAATGCCATTCATCCTGCCATACAATGCAGTGTCTTCAGTCTTTGCCAGCAAATTAAAAGTTGAAGCTTAATCCTTAATTTATTACCATTTTTGTGTTAGATTTGTTTATAAATCACATTTAAACACTGCTTGTACCAATTACATTAAATAAAAAGTAACACGCACTTTCTCTATCACTGTCATGAATCAGCAAACAAACAAGCAGCAGCTTCGGCTACAGAGAGACTAACGTTATGTTTTCTCGCTTGGAAATAGAACAAATGTGGAATATTGTAGAGACTCACCTGCTGCTGATCCTTCATCCACACTGCAGTGAAGTTAGTTTATGACTCCCACCATGTTTAGGTTTAATCAGTGTGGTTCTCCCGTGTCACGTCGTCTCTTTTCAAAACTGCGTGGTTTTTGTTGTTGTTTTTTTTTCTTCTTTCGGCTGCTCCCTTCTTCAGGGGTCGCCACAGCGAACTTAAGTCGCACGAAGACTTGGCAGTTATTTTTACGCCGGATGCCCTTCCTGACGGAACCACAGACCACCGAGCTACCACAGCCCTCTGTGTGGAGCAGAGAGCTGCTATCTAGGACACCCGGAGGAGCAGAAGGTGGAGGTCAAGGGCCTTGCTCAAGGGCCCAGAGTGGGATGAATGAGGGTGGGGGCAGGCATGGGTGCCCCACTCACGTCTTTGACGTTGTCTGTTCCGGGGCTTGAACCGACAATCTTCCTATCACAGGTCCACCCCCTCCAACCTCCGCGCCACCACTCCCCCACTTTTCAAAACTGCATGTTACACAGTTTTTTATATTTGTGAAGCGTCAAGTGCTCCCACACTTTGGAGGACGTTGGTCGAACAATTTTCTCGGCGTCAGTCATTTGTAATATTTATTTAATTTCATTTGAAAACACTGTCTCTGCTCTGTTTCTGCCTCACTCTGTTCAACTCGCACTGCAGTTTAAAAAAAAAAACTTTATTCAGTCAGCCAGCATTGACAATGCTCTGCAGATTAACAAAATGGCTCCACAACGCCCTGAGAGACGCTTAATAGCGCGACACAACGAATCGATAATGAAATTTGTTGCCAAAATAATCGATTTTTATCAATTTTATCGATTTGTTGTTGCAGTCCTAATTCCTTGTTCATTTCCAGTCCAGAAAAAGAAAACATCTTGAAAACTACAAAACACTCACCATTCAAAACCTTCAGCGATGGGGAACATAGGTGTGCCGCTTGTTATTAAAAACTTTTACTACACTAAATATATTTGTTAGCAAAATATTTCATAAACCACTGGTTGGGTTTCAGGACACGCTTTCAGGAAACAACCATTGGTCTGACGTCATGGAGATACAGTAGAGACTGGACCAGAAGCTGAAGTTGAAGCCACAGGCAGCAGTTAGATTGTTAGGCCCCGCCCCTCCAACCTGTGTAGCGTAGGAGCCCAGCTGCAGAGTTTTATCTGACAAAGGCAGCAGTGGGTCATCAGATCTACTCTCACCAAGCTGGAGAACTTCTCATATTCTTCTCATATTCTCAGAATACTTCCTAAGACCATTTGGTTGTGTCATCTTCATCTTCTCAGTTCAGAGACAAAGTGTCTTTTCAGGCAGAATAGTTTTGGATTCTCCAGCAGCCATGGTAGAACTGTCCTAATAGTCTTTCAGGTTTCCTGAAGCATTACAAGGTATGCTCTGGGTTTTTAGCTGCGCATCTGTTGCCCCAGTTCAGATGCCTTTGTCTTCTGTCTTCTCCCCGCTTGTGCCTTTTCTCCTCCATGAGTTTCTGTCTGTTATCGTCTACAGCAGGGATGCCCACACTTTTTCAGCATGCAAGCTACTTTTTAAATGACCAAGTCCAAATGAGCTTCTATAAAAATACAGAACATATACTTGTTTATAAACATATTAAGTATGCTTTATTTTACATCCCAGCTCGCTGTGGACGCAACATAAATGACAAAACCCCAAAGTTTTTTTTTAAGTAAGTGACAATTTATTTTTACTGTCCTCGTACAAAATAATAAAACAAAGTAATAACTTGCGTTGCAGTCATATAGTTAAACACCATCCAAATAAAAATGCACAACTGGGCTGTGCCACACGTCTGTAGACTCATCTATTTACATTGAAAAACACTCACAGTCCACGATATCCTTCCAAAGTTGCTAGGTCAAATCCTCGAACATGGCTTCACAGCGCCGTTTAACTGTACTTGATACCTGGAAAGCTTTGATTGAAGATAATATTTCTGGTTTGTTTTTAAAGTCTCAGAACGAGTCAGCTACAAACAAATGCCTCTTTTACCATCTCTCCATCTTGAAAGGACTTCTTGTGCTTATCATTTATTAAGTGGCTCAATGATGATTCGGTAGCTGCCTTCGCTTTTGTGGTCAGCTGTAGGAAAAATGACTGCTGTCCGGATAACTGGGATTTTAGTTCCTTCACCTTTTCTTTCATCATCTTTCTCAGCTCGCGTTTTGGAAGGAAGTCAATGTTGTAGTTTTTATGAATTGTCAGAAAATGCCGCTCCACATTTTCATTGGAATAACAATAGTAGACTGGCAGATGAGGGAAACACACTTGGAATATGACATTGTGAGAAAAAAAAGTTGTCCTCCCATTCCATATGGAAATGCTAGGTTTTTTGCTTCTTACTTGGTCCAGCTCCCCCACTCATTTTCCTGAGGCTCAATGGTGTAGTGGACTAGGCCTAGGTCAAAACTGACCAGATGGACAGAGACTGTTATTTCATTGATCTGCATCCAGAAATACAGTTTGAGCCATCTGGAGACTTTCTTTCTTGAATTAATCAAGTAGAAAAGACAATTCTTTATGATCATTACTATTTTACAATTGTTTGATAATCAAATTGTGTTAGTTCACTCAATGTTTACAGGTTGAAGAGAACTACTCATTTTTATTTTACATAAACAGTAAGTAATGATTTTTATTCCTCATTCAAAGAAGAAATCAGGGTAATATGCATTTCTTGATTTTTCTGTCTTCAATGAGCAAATTTGTAAGTGTGTTAAAGGTCGAGTTTCGGTCAACTAAAATGTTTACCGAGAAGAAATGTCATGTTTAACTTTCACAGAAGATACAGGAGAGTTTGACTCCACGAAGTCTGGTTTTCTCCAATAATCTTTCTGTCTGTTTTAAACAATCTCATTCTCTGCCCTTGACTTTGATAACACCTTACATCACAAACCACACCTCTGATCTGGTCCATCCACCAATCAGAAAGCTCTAAAATGACCCGGAAGTCAACCCATTTAAATGTGGCAACTTCCCGGTTCTCGCCAGAGTTAGAGAGTTAAAGGGTTACAAAGAGTGACAGTTCTCCTGGAGAAGTGAGATGAAAAACTCTCTGATGCAGCTTATGGAGAAGAGTTCCAGAGTTTAACTCTCTGAAGAGAGTTCTGAAGGAGTTCAGAATTCTGACAATCCAGGATGCAGAGAGGATTTTGGGAATTATAACTTCTGTTTGGATAACCTCGCACGACTCTCTAAGGGTTTGGCTGTCCTCATGGAGACGCTGAAAGAGTCAGAAAGGAACCCTACGCCGACGCTGATTTTATCATCAACCAGGTAGAAGGTTCTATTTCGACCAAGTGTACCGTGGCCAAGCTGATTCCCCAAAGAGCGTGTTGTTCTGGTCCTACAGATAAACTCCCTCACACATCTCTCTGTAAGATAAATCTCCATTTTCCATCTTAAACTCTCCTTTCTCCTAAAATCATTACAGATATTTTAGAAATATCTGAAGCAAAGTTCTCAATCACCGCCGTGTGATTGATGTCTGTTGTTCTGCTGAGAAGTGAGGACAATCTCCGTATTGTTCCAACTTTCTGTGAACTTGCCATTGTTATTGTTTTCATATTTTGCCAAATTAATGTAAATGTTTGATGTTAAACTTTGATTCTGCAAATAAATGACCGCATTCATTTGATGGGTCAAAGTTAAATAACGTCTCTTGTTACATTTCTGTTAAACTCAATGCACGACATTTACACAGTCAGAAAAATGAAGAACTCGTGAAAAATGTATGAATATATCCAGCATATGTCATACTACAATGGGATTAAACTGTAGAAATTAATTCAACCTTTATTTAGACATGCTAATCCCATTGAGTCTCGAGGACTCATTTACAAGAGAGACCTGAAATAAAGGTTGAATGAATTTTACACACTTTCTTGAGTTTAGATTAGAAGAAATAAACTGGAGGAAACACTAAAGTTTATGGTGTGGTTGACTGCGCGTGCGTGGTGACCTATGTGCCAGAAAAGGTCCGGTCTCTGATTGGCTGCCCTGTATGTCAATCAAGGGACATTTCATAGTGAGGATGGACAATGACGTTTGTTTAAAAAAAAAAAAAAAAGCTGACGTCTATTTTGCCATGCAATCTACTCAAATTGCCTTCATGACCGACCGGTAGATCGCGGTCGATATATTCGTGGTCTGCATACTCTTCAAGTTTAGACTGCTTCATCATTTTATCTTCGTTTATAACTGAAACCTCCTACTTTTCTTCTGAGCCTGTTTTTTTGTGTCTCTGACTGAGATCTGTGTTGTGTTTGTGTCTGCAGCCCCGACTCTACCTATGAGGCCATGACCAGCAAGTGGCCTTCTGTCTGGGTGAAGATCTTCTCCAGCTGGATCTGCATCTGTCTCTACGTGTGGACCCTGGTGGCCCCTCTGGTCTTGGTCAACAGGGACTTTGACTGAAACACTACAGTCCAAACTCATGCTTTGTTTCATTAAAGTCATTGCAACAGTAGGTAGCTAACCTTCCATCGCTAACTGTGGTTGGAGTAACAAAGATAGGAGTTTTTAGTAGTCCTGGCTTGTTTGTGCAGTCTGGGTGATAAATATGAAGCCAGTTTGCATGTTTTACTTTCTGCTCTAACCGTAGTCCAAACGCTTCCTACGTGCTGTTCTTGTTTACCTCAGCACCCCGTTGGACCGCTTCATTGTACTGATCCAGGTGTAAATATATTGTGAATGGTGTTCCATACTCTCCCGGAAATGAGCATGCATTTCCATAAATAGTATATGACAGCAGTCTTTGTCTTCAGCTTAGTGTTTTGTGAAAATCCATGTTGTGAGTCGACTACAGACGTGCTCCACCTCCGGGCAGAAGCAGCTCTCTCTAGTGTTGCTGGCTGTTTTTCAGCACAAAAGGCTCTGATTAGTATTTTCCCTGTGTGTGAAAATGAAATGCACAGCCCAAGACATTTAGTGACATTATTGTATTTTAGCATGCATGTAGTTGAGCAGATTTTTATCTTTTTGGTTTTTTTTTATCAAATGATGTGCTAACTTAAATAAAGAATTCATCAAATGATTCTGCCTTTTTCTTAGTTTAAGTTCAACAGTGTTTATTATCCCAGAGGGGCAATTTGTGTCACAGACATGAAAACATATATGAAAAGACAATATACTAAAACTGCTACTACAACTGCTCATTAAGAAGTCTGATTGCTGCAGGGATAAGTGAAAATTTCAGTCTGTTAGTCCTGCATCTGGCAGTGGATGCCTGCGTCCAGATGGAAGCAAGCAGAACTCCCCCCCTGGGGGGGTGGGGGGTTTGTTGTTAGGCTCAGTCTGGCCTTTTTAACTGACCTCACCTTGTTCAGGTCAGTGAACTTCTGTAAACCAGCAATTTTGCTGCACATCCTGACAGTCCCCGAAAGTTTGGTTCTGCTTTTACATGTTAAAGATCCCAACCTACAGATGAAGTTGAGCCCAAAAAAGGTTCTCATTAAAGTAGAATCAACATTAAAACCACAGAGTTGCCAATAAAAATACATTCTCTGATGAGCCTTCTTACAAAGTGAGTAATTGGACATAATTTGTGGGCAGTATGCTGGTGAAGATTCTCAGTCATCCAGGACATGATGAATTCAAAAAGCGTTCAATACAAAAACAACTGGACTTTATTTGTAACAGAAGACGTTTCGCTCCTCATCCGAGGAGCTTTCTCAATTCAAAGAGCAGAGAGTGAGAGATTCAGGTTATAAGGCTGAGTGAGATAAGACACACACACACATAGTAGATTGGCAATTCACACCTAAACAAACTTAACAGTAAGAGTCTTTTGTTCCTCTAATTCACAGACGAGGCCCCTCTGTTTCCATCAGGTGTGAAAACCGGCTGGGAATCTGTTTTAAAGTTTCATTATAGGTTTTTGAAAGTGGAAATCTGAGGCCTCCTCCTCTGTTAAGAGACGGCTTTTCTCTTTTTACATAAATTGCTTCCTTCACCCCTCTCAAACCATCTGTGTTCTCGATTGGTCCTCAAAAGAGTGTCCCTTATCCCTGAGGTGGAGATGAACAGCTGAGTTTTCCAGAGGTGGTGGCTGTCCTGTGTTGAGTCATGCGTCTGTGAAGTAACTGGTTGGTTTCTCCAATATAGAGGTCTGGACTTAACTCGCTGCACTGAAATGCATAAACCACACCACTCAGGTAAAAATCCAAGCCAAGGAAATAGAAGCATTCACCAGACACGTCAACTTGGTCGATAACAACATCAAGTTCACCAGCGAGGATGCAAACGACAACAAGCTGCCTTTTTTGGACTGTTTGATTCACATGGATAGAGAGGACAGCCTCAACATTGAAGTGTACAGAAAACCATGCATCTCCTGTTGGAATGGTGGGCTTGATGGCATCCGTCCGACCAAAGTTCTCATGTTTAGAAAACACCTTTTTGTAATAAATTGGTCAGCTTACCAGCTTCTTCGGGTGTTAAACCTGGTCGTTCCACTAGCCCCTGTAGGTCAAAGCTTGGGCTTTCCTCTGGGGCATCCACAGCCTCCACCAGTCCAACGTGTACCACTCCATTGTCATCAACAGCCAGGTCAACATCTCAAGCTCCGTGGACATCCACGCTGTCGAGTTTGTAGAGGCGGCCAATCTTTTGATAGCGTTCTAGGATGACTGGAAAGTTATTCAAATTTTTCAGACGGACAGGGATCCTACTGTTTCTGACAACCGCGAGGGTGCGGGCCACTGAGATAGGGTTTGGTTCCTCTAGGGCTTCCACCAGGCCACAATAGTCTCTCCCTGCTGGTCCTGCTCGAGCTCTTCCCCAGGCCACCACTTCCCTTCTCGCAGGGATTTTGATCCCTCATCATTGAGCTGGTCAGATGTATCCCTTGAACCTGTCCTCCGTGGAAACGGCTGTCCTCTGGCAAAGGGTGAAGGCTTCCCTCCATGCCTGTTGAGACCTTGAGCTCTGACAATGAAAAGACAAAGGCTTCCCAGGGTTATGAAAAACAACATCCCAGCAAGGTCTTATTATATTCATGCCAATAATGAAGGGATTAGTGGAGCATTCATCAGTCACTACAAAGACACCTCTTTGGTCATGTCAACACCCTCAATCTTAAAGTCCATTAAAGCATAGCCTGTGCAAGGGATCTTAAGGCCATTTGCTCCCTTGAGCTGAATGTAGGTTGTGACATTGTTAACATTGTAGTCAGGAAATATTTGAAGTATAGGCTCTGCTGCATAACGTCACATGTGAGCCAGTATCTAAAAGTCCCTTTAAATTGGTCCCTCCCACAGACACATCCACATATTCAGGTCTCTCTTGTAAATGTGTCCTCGAGGCTCAATGAGATTTACCTGTCTAAATAAAGGTTGAATGAAAAATATGGGCAGTTCCCCACTAAAGCTGTAGTGGCCCTCTGGTCTTCTCCTTGACATGACCCCACTGCATGGGCCTCAACAGTAGGGTGCACTAGTTTAAAGCTGGCTGGTTTACAGAAGACTCTCTGCAAAATCGGGCTATGTGACCTGGTTGACTACACACACTACAGATGGGCCTACCTTCCTCATCCCATCGGTAGCTGGTGTGGCGCTTCTGGCGCCTTCTCACCCAAGGATGTTGAGGGATGACACTGGGGTGTGCTGGTGTTTGTGTGAAGCTCATTGATCTCTGGTCTCTGATTAACTCATGGGTAAGGTCCTTCATCTGGGCCTTGTTGGGATAAAAATAACCTTGGATGATAAATGGTGGAAAATAACAATATGGATTGGTGAATATAAGGTTTAATTATGAATTATGGAAAATATATCATATAAAGGTGGCTAGAATTTCTGTTAGATATGGCCATAAGCCAATAAATAATATATTTTCAAGGACTGCTAACTTTAAAATCAAGCCATGACACTTTCTGCTGTCAGTAGGAAAATAGTGACTTATTTCTAATGAGGCCTTTAATGACAAGCAAAACATCAAAAAGGTTCTTCCTCAGGTAACTGAAGTTAAATTATAGTTCACATCGTTTGAGTGTGGGAATTATAAAACAAGTAATGATAAGTAGCTTAATGGGTAAATGGACTGTAATGGACTGTACTTGTATAGTGCCTTTCTATCTTATTGAGATACTCAAAGTGCTTTACATTTCAATCTGTGTCCTCATTTACCCATTCATACAGCACTCTACTAGATCTCTACGAAGCTAATTGAACAAATCATTCTAATGAGACTAATCAGTGCTTTAGATCACATTCATACACCGATGGGACACACATCGGAGGCAACAAGGGGTTCAGTGTCTTGCCCAGGGACACTTCGGCATGTAACTGCTGTGAGGTTCGAACCCCCAAGTCTTGTATTGGAGGACGACTGCTCTAACCACTCAGCCACAGCTGCCCATAGACGTCCATAAAAGTCAGAATGACTTTTGTAAGACTTAATAATGTAACAAGTTGCCGAGGGGATAATCAGAGTCTCACAGTCTTTGTAATATTATGTGTGGCTTGGTGCTGATTATGGGTCATATACTCAGTGGAAAGAGAGGACAGCTAATGTGTGTCTGATAGATCAGACAGGGACTTCAGAGAGCCTGTAAGGTGTTTATTGGATAGGAATTGAAAACAGGAAATGTCACTGGGTGGAGAAAACAGTCTATAAATGTTGGAAGAACCTTGAGACACGTCAGAATTGTACAGAAGGTCTCTGAATTCAAGCAATATAAAACAATTCTCCCTTGTTCACATATTTTGAAGTCTGTAAGAATAACGATGCTGTTTAATGCTGACATAAACGTGTGTTCCTTCCGAGTAAATGATCCGGGCAGGGGAGAGGAGAAGAGATCTTTGTTTCCCTTTACAGCCTTCACTTCCTCCATAATTTCCTTTTTCAGCTCCTGTTTCCACAAGTCACTCTGTTGGTGAGATCTAACAGGGTCAGGATCTCTTACCACAGCACAAATCACTTCTGGCCATCTTGAAGAACTTCGTTGCTTTTCTTCCAGGAGGAGGGCCTCTTGATGGACAGCATTGAAGGTTGTATCAGGGTTCAGGAGCACAGCTCACTTTAACATTTGAAGTAAGGCACCATCCTCCAGGCCAAGCAGGAATTGGTCTTTAAGGTGGGTGTCAGTGGATGCTTCCTCTGCGTTGCATTTCTGTAGTTTTTTGGTACAGCTCTCTCAACCGGAGCCCGTATGCCTGAACCGACTCCCCTGGTTTCTGCATAAAACCAAGAAAATGTGACCGTAAAGCAGACACAGGAACCTTTTTTATGTACAAGTCATCTAAAACAGAAAATGTTTTTGTCACCTTGTCACGTTCATCGTCACAGAGATTGATTTGGCGTCTTGGTAAAACAGACAAGGCACCAATCAAGATTTTTACTTTTTGTGGTTCAGTTAAATTATTTGCATCTAAAAGACCTTGTATTTGCTCCTTCCATTCATCATATTTAGCACTGTCATTTTGTCCTTCAAATTTGGGGACCCATGGGGCACTGGGAAAAATAGGCATCATTATCATTAAAAATAAATAAATAAATAAAAAGACATTAAAATTTCCAGTAAAAAATATTTTTAAACTATTTAAAAAACACTGCTCACGAATCCTGCGATCCTTACAGCAACTGCTAAAATCTGTCAGCTGCCGAGCTGTACTATGTTTATTTTTAAATCAGACAAAACTTTTTTTTTAATATCAGCAACACCACGGACTAAGATCAGGTCTGTATCACAGGGGTGAGCAGTGTTTCACAAACCAGCCAGTAGAAGGTTACAATAATGCATTTCAACCAGGAAAACAATTGCTGCAAGCAGTCCAAATATTAAAAAGCTACGGAAGAGGATTAGGGCCACTGGAAAAAAAAAAGAATAGGACCACTGGAAAAAAAAAAGAATTCTGACTTTAATCTCAGAATTCTGACTTTAATCTCAGAATTCTGACTTTTTTTTTTAAGGCTGATGGACGGCAGGGAGCAACCATCTTCCGTATCAGAGATCTGAGTCGTGCAGAAGGATAGCTAACGTTTTGGAGCAACATGTCAGATTTAAGTGACTATTTACGTGCTCGAGGAGCCCCGAAG